ATCAAGTATTTCTTAGAAAATAATCTAGCTAAAAGCTTTATTAAAGCTAGTTAGGCTTCTTTTACTTTACTAGTTCTTTTTATAAAGAAAGTAAATAGAGGTTTATATTTCTATATTAATTTCTATTATCTAAATAATATTACCCGAAAGAATTAATATTCTTTTTTACTTATTAATAAGACTTTAAGTTAATTATTTAAGGCTAAGATCTATATTAAATTAGATATTTACTAAGCTTTCTATTATATAGCTATAGACCCGGACTTTTAGAAACTAATAATATTTCATATCTATTATAAAATATATAAAGATAATATTTTCTAGAAAAGCCTTATAAATAGCCCGGCTATATATTAATACTATATAAATAATATACTTTTTAAATATCTAGATAACTTTTATATAATATATCTTAATAATATTCTTATTTATTTAGAGAACCTAATAAAATATAAATAATATATATAAAAAATATTAGACTATTTATATTTTACTAGTTTTTAAGTAAATATTAAAAAATTAGAATTTAAAGTTATATATATAAAGTATTTAAGCTTTATTATTTTTATATCTAATATTAAAATAGATTCTAATAAAATTAAAATAATATATAACTAGTAATTCCCAAAGATAATTAAGGATATATAATTCTTTCTCGGCTTCTATAACTTTTATAAATACTTTATTAGAGAATATAAACGAATTACTAAACTTTTTATCTTATTTATAAAAAGGGGATTTCTTTTAAGTAGTTCGAGTAATATTAAAAGGCTTTTATTTATCTAAAAAAAAGCTATAATTTTTATTTTAGTTCTATAATACTATAATTCAGATTTATTTATAATAATAGAAATAAATATATTTAAAGAAATAGTTACTAGCCTATTCTTTTAATAAGACCTAAAAATAGGCCTTTAGTATTTTATAGCTTATTTTTCCAAAACTATACTTTTAGTAAAGTTTAATTATAATATATATAATAAAGAGATATTTACTATAATATAAGTACTAGAGAAATAGAAAACTAAAATAAAGAACCTTTAGAATATTTTCTTTAAAATCTATTCTAATTACTATATCTTAAAATACTTTATAACTACTAAAAAGCTTTCTTTTTAATAAGCTAGATAAGCTAAGCTTTTATTTTACTATTATTTTAAGCTTATATATTATTCTAGAAAATCGAATAAATAAATATTTTATTATAAAAATAGAATAAAGTAAATATTTAGGGCCAGATTAAGAAAAAGCTATAAACCCAAATACTTTTCCCTAAAAATAAGATTAATTCAGAAATTATCTATAACTTATAGCTTATAATAATACTTTATAAAGTCGGCTTATTTAATCCGGAATTCGGCCCTAAAAATCAAATATATACTAAAGACTTTCTAGAAAAGAATACCTTTATTAGAAATATAAGTTTCCTAAAAGAAAATATTTTCTTAAAAGCTTTACTAGTAGATTCTACTATAGTAGCCTTTATAGAAATACTATTAGAAGCTTCTATTAAGTATAATAGTTTATAACTTATAAATAATAACTTATAGAATAATTATATATTACTAGATCTAGAAAAGCTATATATAATAGCCTAAACTAAAAGTAATATCTAAATATTATAAGACGACTTCTTTTTATATTATAGAAAACTTTATATTATAAAAAACGAAATACCTTCTGAACTACTTTTATAAATTACTCTAATTTATAAAATATATAATAAATTCTTTTTTAGATATCCTAGATATATAAAGCTTTATTAGCTATTAAAAAAGTAATATTACTAGCTATTTATAAGTAAGAATATTAATTAATACTATAGTAATTATTATATTTATAAGAAATTATATATATCTAGAAATAAGAAGCCTAGTTTATTTTATTTTTTTCTAGTTTTTAATTATCTCTAGTAATATATTATTATAAACTTTAAAAGCTATTTAGAAAGCAAATCGGGCTATAATATAATTATTATATTTATAAATTACTTATTTAAATATCTAATTATAATTCTAGTATAAGATATAATTATAATTAAATAGCTAGTACTTTTATTTTTATTTTATATAATATACTAAGTAAATATTCTAGAAATAATTATATTAGATTAGGAACCCTAATTTATATCCGATTTTTAAAGCAAATTCTATATAAGAATTAGTATAAAGCTCAAGTTTTTTATAACTAATTATTCCTAAATAAATAAATAAATAAATAGAGATTATTAATTAGTACTTTAATTAGAGATTATACTTATATATTAATTATTACTAGAATAACTAGAATAAATAGATTATTATAATTAATTATTAATAAGCCTTTCTTTAGTATAAAACTATTAGCTAGTTTTTATTTATAACTAAAAAAAGCTATAAGTTTTATATTTCTCTAAACTAGAACTCTTTTATTAAAGCTAACTTACTTAAGGAAAAGCTAAAGTATTAGTAAATTAATTATATAAATTATAGTAACTTATTTAAGGCTATATAAAATAAATATAAGAATAATATATAATATAAGCTAATAAATATTATTATTTAATTAATTTTAAAGTTAGAAATAAAGTATAAATTATTATAAAGTACTAGAAATCTAATTATTTAAACTAGAAGTTAGGGAACTAAATAAAGAACCTATTTGAGATTCTAGAATAATATAGCTATTTGTTTTTCCTAAAATTACTAGAAACTATAAAAATATATCTAGTTTTTTATATAAAGAAGCTATAAAAAAACTTCTAGAATTCTTTATTAGATTAAGTAAATCCGGAACTATTTCTATTAATACTAGAAAATAATAAATAAGAATATAGCATTAAACGGGTTATTATAGCTAAGCTAATAAGAAATAAACTAAAGTATAGAATTTAGTAAGTTAGTTAGGATAAAGATTTAGTATAGTATTTAGCTTTAGTATTAAATAATAGCCTCCTGGTTTTATAAAGTTTTTATAATAATAATATTAATATATTAGAACCTCTATAAAACCTATAATATTAGCTAGACTATATAAAAAATAATACTTATCTAGAATTATACAGAAATAATAATAAATCTTTCTAGGTTATATAATAAAGATACTAGTCTTTTATATATAATATTTATATCTGAAATACTAGTTTTATTTTAAGAAAAAGTATAATACGAAATTAGATAAATTAATAGCTTTTATAAAGCTTAGAAACAAGTTTATTATAAAGGAAGAAATAATATTATAATTTCTAAATATCTAATATCTGAGATATCTTACTAGATATTAAATGCCTTCTAAATATATATAATATAGCTATTTTATTAGGGAAATATACTTGAAATATACTAGAAATATTTAAAAAGCTAAGTTTCTTTAGAACTAATATATTATAGGATATATATATTTCCTTATAGCCTCTTATATTCTAGTTTTCTTTTCTTTAGCTTTAAATTATCTTTATAAGAAATCTTCTATTTTACTTTCTAAGCCCTAAATATTATATTTATAATAAGCTTATATTTCTAATTATTTATTTAAATAAGAAATCTAGATATATTAGTATTTATATTTTAATTATATTTTATATAGAAAGTAATAAAAATTAGAAAACTAAGTAATTTTTAAATCCGGTTTTTGACTTTTAATATTTGATTTATAATATATATTTATTTTATTAAAAATTGCCTATATATTATATTTTCTTTTCTTATATCTTTATTTATTATTATTATTTAAAATATTACTTTTTCTTTAATTCTTATTTATATATATATAAGAGAGAGATAAGAGATAAGAAGCAGATAGGAATAAGGATAAAAGAGAGAGAAGAGAGTAAAAGGTAAGTAAAAAGTGAAAAGTGAAAAGTGAAAAGTGAAAAGTGAAAAGTGAAAAGTGAAAAGTAGAAAGTGAAAAGTGAAAAGTGGAAATCGAGAAGTGAGCTTTAATACATGTAACTTGCAAGGAAAAGGAAGCCCTATAATTATAGGCTATTTATTACTAAATTTTAGGGCCACGATTACTAAATTATAGGCTATAGGTACTAAAAATTTAGTGCTTTATAATATAAATTTTTAGTAAGATTCTTTTGCCTTGCCCTTCCCCTCTTCTCCCTTTCCCCCTCTCCTACCCTTATACTTATAAAGAGAGCGAGAAGAATTAAAGGAAGGAAATATTTGAAGTAATAATAGAGGCACAGGGAAAGGAGGCATAGTATGATACCCCTTCGTCCGGTGAGACATTGCCAGGCGCTAGCAAGGGGGGTGTGGCTGCACGCAAGCCTCATCTCGCTTTATTTCTTTATTGTGCTTCAAGAGGCTTGCGTGCAGCCACACCCCCCTTGCTAGCGCCTGGCAATGTCTCACCGGACGAAGGGATAGGCATAGTGTGTGGGTGTTTGCAATTTTTGATGGGGTGAGCACGTGCCACAAGTGGGACATCAAAAGGTCTTCTGATCCTTACGGCTTTCCGTAGCCTCAACCGTGCATGGGCAGGGAGTCAAAGCATACGAGGCGCAGGGCATTAAAAATAGTTCATGTTTCAGAAAAAGCCAATAATACCCAACCATATTACTCTCCCCCCCCCTCTAGTGGGTTCCCGCAAAACCCGCCTGGCCGGTCCAGTTGCCATACCAAAAAAACCCCTGCACTTGGATCCACTATTACATTTATTTGGGGGGGGGGGGGAGTACAATAATTCCGCACAATATTATCCACTCGTCCGGTGAGGCATTACTAGCGTATTAGCCATAGCTGTGGTACTTAATAAAATTCCAGAAGCCACCTTTTAAATATAATTTACTGGTGCCACATCCTGTGGCTAATACGCTAGTAATGTCTCACCAGACGGGGGGTAGAGAGTTAATTTTAAAAGTGGGTCCAAGTGCCCCTGAAACCCTCCCTTTCTTTGGAGATGGACGGTTTTCATTGCCGCGCGCCTTCGTAAGGTTAAAGCTAGCAAGGATTCAAGCAGTTCCCACTTTCTCTCCTGGATGCGTTCTATTTTGTCCTTTGGCTTACAATTTACCTTTTATGTTCCTCATCGTGCCCAAAGTATCGCTTGTTTTCTGATTGTCTTGCTGGATTCTTGCAAGATCCGACAATTTCCAGTATGCGTTCCTCATTTACATGGCATTTCAGCCTGGTGCTGTTCCCAGTGATCTGTCGTTCAACCGTTCCAGCCGCTACTGGTGATATGTGCTTTGCGGACGACGTGCGCGGTGAGTGCCTAACACTGTTCAAACTATGGATAACTACTAATTTCCCTTAGCGACTATCCTCAATGATGTGCTCTACTTTATGGGAGGCACTTACTCATTCGTGAATGGCGATACAACATCTAATGGTGAGCGTCATTGGAAGGCAAATTGAAATCGTTTTACAGACTCTGTCTAACTTATACGTACTTCAATAGAAAAATTCCTGTACTACCTCAACCTAACGACAAGTTTCCCAGTCGAAGGCTATATACCTGTCAACTCTCTGCACTCCATCCCCGTACCATCTTTTGTCGAATCCACAAATCAAGGCGCCTTCTTTACATCCGGAGATATATTGTACTCCTACAGCACCGGTTCTGCCTTCCCAAATGCAACGGACACCATCATATCCTACAACACCGTTACAGATACGTGGTCCAACTCAAAGGTCTCCGGTGGTGCGTTCAATATCGCAGGTCGCAATGGTGGTTTTACAACCACCAATCTGGACACGGGAATGGGTTTCTATTTGGGAACGGGATCCCCGGGGGATCAAAACGGGTGGAATCTTCAGGGATTACTGGTTTTCAATGGCTCTGACTCCAATGCCCTTAAATGGGCGAACCAAACAGACAACGCACCAAACATTGATACCGGTAGCATGGCGTACATTCCATTATCGAAAGAAGGAGTCTTGCTCGCTTTCGGGGGCGTCGATACTACTGCAACAAGTGATTTGTTTCAGAACAGTTGCTGCTATGGAACTAGGGACATGTCAATCATCAACGTATACGATATCGCTACAAACACCTGGTATTCAGTTACAGCATCCGGCCAAATCCCACCCCAACGCGAGCTAGCATGCTCTGTTGTCTCGGCGAGTCCAGATAGCTCTAGCTTCCAAGTTACCATGTATCAAGGCTGGAATCTACTAAAAGGCCAGGCATTTGAGGATGTGTATGTCCTTACAATACCTTCATTCCGCTGGATCAAGATTAGTGATACGGGAAATACCGAGCAGGAGCTGGGGCAAATCACTGGCAGATTTGGTGGTGCGTGCAGTATTTGGAACGACAGACAGATGATTGTGGTTGGAGGAGGTTTCAGGATTGGAGACACCCAGGTCAATGGAGGGACCAGTTGCAATACGTCGTATCCTGCTATAAGAGTGTTGGATACGAGTACCTATGCTTGGCAGACTCAGTTTCAGTCAGATCTGGGAGCATACGAGGTGCCGGAACCGATGTATAATCTAATTGGTGGGAAGTAAGTTGTGTTCACTTTCCCTTTATTCTTGGGCCTAATGCAAAAGGACACGCTGACAGCTTATTCTGTAGTGCATCAGGTGGAGCCACAGCCACTGGCCCAGTAGGTGGTTTCAACAACACCGATCTAAATAAGATCTTTGCCCTCACTATTAAAAGTCCCACATCAACCAGCAATACACACTCGTCAACACCAACATCAGCAACAAACAGTTCATCGCCAAATTCCTCCAATAGCCCTACACACAAATCAACTCCAATCGGGCCTATCGTTGGCGGTATTATTGGTGGCATCGCATTCCTCGCGTTCGTATGTGGCGGTATTTGGTGTCTAAATAGACATCGTCGCCGACCAGACTCTGGTACCATCTCGAGCACGAACACATATAAAAAGGCGGAGTTGGATGGAATCGGGGAATATAGAAAAACTGTAGGAGAAATGGGAGTAGGCAAAGATGTTGAACGGAGTGAGTTGCCGGGTCGAGAAAACGGAGCAGGTCAAGCTTTAGGACGGGGTGAGTTGCCGGGTCAAGAATTAGTATACGAATTACCCGATAGAAGGCCCTATTGAAAGACGTTTGCTTGCCGCCGCCTGAATCATGTTGAAAGGCGCCAAGCTTATGGTGCCTAAGGCAGCGAGGGGGCAGAGAGACTAGTGGATTTTGTACTTATATTAAGGGGCTTCCTAGCTATTAATAATGAGTCAAGGTTTCCAACTACCTCAATTTAACAAAGCACTCACAATAGGCTATTACTTAGCCAAGATAGCGTGGAGAGCAAGTAAGCCAGGCAAATACAGTTAAATAAAATAAAAAAAGAAAGCTTATTAGCTAAAGAAAAGTATAAGTTTTAATATTTATAATTAAATAATTTTATATAACTTATATTTTTAAGTAATACTTTAATCATAGCCTAATATTATATAAATTTGCTTTAAGATATAAGTCTTTTATTATAATAATCTAAGAGGCTATTTTTTATAAATAAAATTAATAAAATTTAATAAATTATAAAATAATTATAAATAATTAAAATAATAAATTAATATAATACTAAATTTTATTTCTTTTTTAAGATTTAAAAAGATTTTTTTTTAAAATAAAAGGCTTTAATTATATATATATATATATTAAAGAAATATAAATAATAATAAAATAATAAGATATAAGAATTATAAATTTATTTATTTAATAATTAAAGCTTATTATATATAATTTATAATAAAATATTATATAAATAATTAAAATAAGATATAATATAAAATAATACTTATAAATATAATAAATTTTAATAAATAATTTTAATAAGAAATTAATTTATATCTTATATTAAAAATATAATTTACTATATTTTAAATAATATAATATAAGTAATATTTTTAATAAAAAACCTAATTTGTAAATAGCTATTAGTTTACTAGAAATACATAGTACTATTATATAGTTATAAAATACTATTTATATAAGTTAGTAAAGTTATTATTTAGAAGTAGAGATTATAGTATTATAGTATTAATATATAATCCCTAAATCTGCTAAGTCTAAAGAAATCTAGTTTACTAGTCAAGTTACTAATAGAATGCAAGGTTATATAACTATATCCCGTATCTCATATCCCATTACCTATATCTTATTACTTATATCCTATTACTTATATCCCATATCCCGTATCCCGTAACTATATATATAACTTCCAGAGAAATAGCTATACTAATACTAGAAACTCTCTAAAAATGCAAAAAACAGAAAATAATACTCTTCTCTAATTATATATAAATTCCCTAATCCGGCCTAGTACTAGATTCCCCAAATACTCTATATATCCATATTACTTTTAAGGTTTTGGTTATATACTAAAAGCTATAGCATTTTATATATAATCTTTCTTCTCATATATCTATATTCCCTAATCCGGCCTAGTACTAGATACTCAGATATCAGGTACCCAGATACCAGATACTAGATACCCAGATACTCAATTTCCTAATCCGGCCTAGTACTAGATACTCAGATACTAGGTATCCAGATACTAGATATCCAGATACTAGACTCTAAGAAAATCTTTATATATATTCTTCTATTCTTATATCTATTTCCTACTCTATTCGTATTTAATCTATTTCTCTATATCTAACTATATAGTATTCGTATTAATAAGGCACTTAAGGGTATTTAATAGCTTCGATTTCGTTATAAAGTTAATAGAATTCAATTCTCTTTTAATTTATTTAATTTCTATAATCTCTTATTATTTATATATCTAGTAAAAATATATTATATTAATTATTAGGCGTTTCTCTCGAGTAATACCTAATTTAATAAGGCATTTATATAATAACTTCAAATCCGTATAAATAACTGGTAATAGTTCTATTTCTAGTACTTTATTAATTATAGATTTAATTAAAGCACCTATATTAAAACCGTAAGCCATATTATAAAGTTCTAAAGCTAGAATACTTCTAGTAACTTTCTTATATTTAGTAAAGAACTAGTAGATAATATTAGTATATCTAATTCTATTTACTAGAATTAGAATTTATCTAATTTGGGAAAAGAGATTTCTATTATTTATAAATAAAGCATTCGTAAAAATAATTAAATATAAGAACTTCTTTACTAGCTTTATAAATCTTAGTTTTCTAGTAATATTCTCAATTTATTATTAAATATACTTATTAAGTGCCTTTATATTAGTTTCCGAGAGTTTAATAACTTAAGTAGTAATTAATAAATTATATAAAGCTTCTGGTTAATAAACTAATATAATATATACTTCTCTAGTATATTAGGTAATATATTAGTTCTTAATAAAAAGATCTTAATAAATAGTATCTCTATTATTTATAATAGTAGTATTTTTTATAGAAATAGTTTAGAGGTTTTTATATTAGTATTTCTATATAAGAATAATTCTAGTAATATTTATATAAATAATATCTTTATTAAACTTGAGATTATAATTAGAAGTAAGATATTTATATTTCTTAGCCAAGAATTTAGTCTTATAAAACTTTAGTTACTTTATTTTTATAAAATTATTAGTTCTAATAAATAGAGTATTATTAGTTTAAAGACTAATAATTCCGAAGAATTATTTATTATAAAGGAGGCAAGAATTATAAGTTAACTATTCTATAGAAAGCTTATTAATATAATAGAAATAATAAGTCTTAAACTAGTAATTCCTAGTTTCTAGTATATTATATAATAGTTTTATAATTTTTAGAACTAAATTATTATTTAGATTTAGCTTTTTAATAAGCTTATAAAATAAGTTAATATAAAAATTATAGTTAAGTAAGATTATTAATTAGATATAAGCTTGCGAGATATTATATAAATATAATTTTATAGTATTTATTATTATAGTAATAATACTAAGAATAATTCTCTAGCTAATATATTAAATAGTAAGTAATTATATTAATATTATATATTTCTTATTATTATTATAGGCTTAGATAACTAGTCTCGACTTTTTAAGCTCTTTTTCCGTATCCTTATTCTTAATCTTATTAATAAACCGGGAATTAAAAATATATATTTCCTTTAGTACCTGAGATCTGGAAGTAACCTTAAATATATTCTTTTCTAGGAGGCTAGTAACTTTAATTTAATAGGAATTCTTATATAGTTTATTATCCTATAGAAATACTATAATATCCGGGGTTTTATAAAGGTATTTTCTATTATACTTTAGTAAAATAACAGGAGAAATTATACTCGTATTACCTTTGGCCTTATTATTAGGTTCGAGAATAGGTTTAGGTTCGGGGCTATTAATAATAACCTTAATATCTCCTATATAAAAGGGCTTTATAAAGATTAAATAAAAGGTAGTATTACTATATAATAGAGCTAGTATATAGTTCTCCCTATTAATAGTTACTAGCTTATATAGTCTATCCTAATTACTAGGTTAACTAGTATTTCCTTTATACTAAATGAAAATATTTAAATTTAGAAATAGTTTATAGATATTTGTAATATTAGAACTATTTCGGGTATTTAAAGCATTTATAATTTAATATCTAGCTTAAAGCTTTTGAATTTCTACTATTACCTTCTTAAATACTACTAATTACTATAATATAATAGGTAATAAGGTATTATATTTAGTTATTTGAGGTAAAGTACTATAAATTAAAAAGGTTAGAATAATACTATTAGGTTCTATAGAGTTATTAATAGCCTTAAAAGCTATTTGAAATATAATATCCTTATTAATTCTATTAACTTTAGCTATAATAGTATTCTATAATTCCGATAAAGTTATAAGCTTCTATAGAAATAATCTTAATCTTAGTTCCTATAATATTCGCAAGCTAAATAAACTCCTTACTAGTAAACTACTTTCCGGTATTTACTATAATCTAATTAGGAGGGCCTAAATAGTTATTAATCTAGTATTACTTAAGTATATCCTAGATATATATTATACTAATATTCTAGAGCTATTAGCCGGTTTAATATCGAGTGGCTTTTATATTAATATTATAGCCTGCTTATTCTAGTATATTTTAGAGCTTACTAATAAATAAATAACCAAAATAATAGTATAAATATTATAATTTGACTTTTATAAAAAAGCAGGAATTATAAGTAAAGAATTCGGAAATAAAGCCTTATAGTATAGTATTCTAAAATAAGAAAGAATATCCGAAATATTATATTATAGATATATATTTTCTAGTAAAAGTAATAAGATAATTAGTAAAATTATTAAAATAGATCCCTAGCTTGTTTATATTAGTTAAGCTAAGTAAAAATAAAGTTTTTAAAGATATAATATAGAATTATACTTGCCTAATTAATATACTTACTATTATAGATCTAATAAAAGTATAATACACACATTAATAGCGAGCGTCTAGCTGGATTTAGCAGCCTAATTAGGCTAGTACTTATATGGGATCGCACTCCCAAATTGGGACTAGTGCTTCTATATATCCAGCGGAATACTAGATTCTATATATAGAGGCATACGAGCTTTGGAAATAGGCATTAATTAGTTTATTACTAAGAACTAGTTCCTGGAATTAATATACTTCCACGCTTCACTCCATACTTTACTCTATATTCCACCTCTTTACCTTGACTACTTATATAGCACCCTGCTATATTGGGAGCCTCATATACTAATCAATCCAACCTGCGGGAAGCAGTTCGCTACGGAGCAATCAAGGCCTGCCAAAAGCACGAAAAACACCCAAAAATCTACGATTTAGCTCAGTTTGGTCAGAAGGAGCCCGCTAGGAGTACGAAAGATACCCGAAATACCACGATTTCTATGATTTTATCGAAAATGACTTTAGAAAACATACCAGAGAGCTTAACGGAGCGTACGGAGCTACCGGAATAGCCAATACCACAGCCAGAGAGCTCAACGGAACGTCCGGAATAGCCGGAATAGCCTGCAAGAGGACAAAGACGTTGCCGCGAAAGCGATCAGGAGCTAAGGCCCCCACCCCCACGAATGCGAGAGCTACCAGCCTACCGTGGCAAAGACATATAAGAAGCCCAGGATTTCATTTCAGGGGCAGAGCGTTAATTTCGCCTCGATCGTGGG